ACTCTGTAAGGCAGTTTCCCTCGTCGAGTAGTACCGGTCCGCATAATGTCTCTTGATCCCTTCTCATATGCCAATATACAGTCCTTCTATGTTGCTTCCCGTAGTATAATCCTTGTTTATGGTCAATTGTGGCCTCCTCCTCTCTCAACCATTCCATGCCCAAAACAAAGTCCTCCTTCAACTCATCCATTAAATATACCAGGACTTTTACTTCATGGCCTCCTATTTCTATCTGGACTTCGGTTGGTCCCGTAGCCCACACTCTCTGACCGTTGGCCAGCCAAATATTCTTTCCATTTCTTAATGCTTCTCCTTCAGCGCGGTCATTTCTTTGTCTTTATACTTTATCAAGATACGTGGTAAATCACTTCTTCCAGGTCGTTCTTGTAGGGAGCCCACCTCCAAGGATCCACTGCTGGCTCCGGTGCGGTGATCCTTAACTAATTTTGCTGCTGCCTAGGTCCCCGGACCTGTTCCGGCTCTGGTCCAGGTTCTCCATGTTCCCTAATATCGGGTAATGGACGTCGATTCCCTTCCCTACTTGGCCCTGCAACGGCTCTTCTTGGACACTCTCGTGCCCAATGATCCCCGTTACAAATCCTACAACTGACATTCGTCGGTCTTCCTCTCGGTCCAGCCGGTACTAACTCTTGTGCCATCGGATTACTTACAACTTTTCTATCGTCATGTAAAAATTGAATTTGTAACGCTACCTCGTGGGCCATTCTCACGTGCTCTTCCATGCCCCCCACTACTCGGCCAACCCTCGCCATCTGAATCTCGGGCCTCATTAAAACTCTCAGTTGTGGCACTAACATGTGTGCAGGTATTTCAACTTCTAATCGTCTATATAACTCCATTTTTTGTGCTATGAATACGGTCACTTCCTCTTTTCGCTGATTTTTACAAAACAGGTCCTGTTGCAATTTCAGCCTTACTTAGTAAGTTTGTTACGGTTTAATTTTGCGGTAGCGTAAATCATCACAATTGCGTTTAATCGCATTGTATCGCCTTCTTTGGTTACCTCGCTACCTTTGGTTCCTCGCGCTTGCCGCGGTCGAATTCCGGCCACCCGTATGCTTAGTCCGTTTTCAATTCGCGACAGTGGTACCACGGCCACTGAAAGGAATTTCTCCGTCGCGCGGTGTTCGTTCCCTCCCCCTACCAATTTCTGGTTTCCGTTCTGATTCTCGCTGTGACTGTCAAAGGCGAAATGGCTGCATGTTCTTTGATGGAAAATTTGTGCATTATTTGAAGCATCCGCAAGGGATACTTTTTCATCGAGGCTCTAAATAATTCTCTAGTGTAGTGTGGTTGTCTGGATACCGTATTTTCTCGTTTGATGGAGAATTAAACTATTTTGGGAAATAGACAGCACATTTCGACCTTACGAGCTGAAGGTACAGAAGTTGAGCCCGTTTTATTAATCGAAGCTATCAGTTTCCGTCAGTAGAAGGCCCTCGTCGAGAGTGGAGGTTCGACCTCCCTTCTGTGGAAAAAAACCCTTAGTAAAAAGGTAATTTTTCTTCTCATTATTTTCACCTAGTTATACAGAGCATGCAGTGTTCTCGTGATTTAGTTTTACCGTTATTACAACCGTATTTCTATACAGGGTTTTTTTTTCTGCTTCCTCTTTCATCACCTCCGTCCTTTGGTATGTTTATTTTCTGCCTCCCCACGTCGACTGTGACGAGTTTGATTATTGTTGGCGGAACCCCTGCTTGGTGAACTATCACCCATACGCCCCATGTGGTTTGGTGGACCTTGGCGCGGACGTCCTTCGATTTAGACAGCTAGAACTTCACCCCTCGATCCCGAGACAGGGCGACCCTGTACCAGTAACACCCCAGCAGTCATACCGAGTGAAAAAACTGATAAGTATAGCGAGTAGTTAAGGTTTTGTTGGCAACGTCTTGTTAATGTACTGTTTGTTCCTTTATATACCTAATTTGTCATTATTTACATATACGGAGTGTCTACCTTGCGAGACCCTCTCGTTAGTTATTGTTTGTGCCATTAGATACATTATTTGTCATTATTTACATTTACAGAGTGTCTACCTTGCGAGACCCTCTTGTTAATTACTGTTTGCGACATTATATACACCATTTGTCATTATTTACATATACAGAGTGTCTACCTTGCGAGACTCTCTTGTTAATTACTGTTTGTGACATTATATACATCATTTGTCATTATTCACACCTACAGAGTGTCTACCTTACGAGGCCATTCCGCTAATTAACCGTAGTATATTCTATTTATTATTCACTAATAAATTGTTTGTTGGGGAATTGCCTGGTTTTATTTCTCGGACAAGGAATATTCTTGAATAACTGTCTCAGCTCAAGCTTTGGTTTTTTATGTTTATTTAGAGTCATCTTCTCGTCTGGGCAATTGGCTGGCCACCGCCAGGTAAAACGACCCTGAGGAGATCTAGTGAGAGAGAGCTAGTCTATACTAGGTCCTCCGGGCAGGCCTAGGATTTGACTTACCTTTTTTTTTTGCTACACTCTTTTGCCCAGTGTAGAATCTCCCGCTAGAGGGAGTCGTAGCAAAGGTTTCATCTAATTCTTCGTGTCTTATAATCAGAAGCAATAAATTGACAAAACTTAGCCGTCGCTGCCATTTAGGACACTTAGAAGGACATTCCAAAAATTGGGAAACATACTGAATAATTATACTCGTAAACAATTCTAGCCATCTGGTAAGCATCTATTCAAGACGAGAAGAAAGAAAAAAATGATATTTGTTCATCTCGGTCTCCTTAGATTTTCTTTTTTGGAAAAACAATGCGGTCATTGAAGGCTTCACTCCTTCGGAGGCGTATTTTTCGTAATAATTTCAATAAGTTTAATACCTTTATTCTGGACTAAAAAATGCTAGAACTATTAATAACGTATATATATTTTTTAATGACAATCACTGCATTGATTATTATCATAAAAATGTTTGTAAAAATCGAGATTCGTATGACAGATATACCTACATTTATAATATCGCTTTGATGTAAGCAGCGATATGTTCAAAAATATCTTAAGTGGAATCAGTACCTTGAAAAGTAAAAAAAAGTTATTATTTAAATTCTTGATATTTGGTTTTCCCGATAACGTAAGTCGAAGAAATTAAACGATTTATTTCAGAGGAATGAGAAATATTACATAACATAAACCTGTATAGTTTTTGCATGATTTATAATCCATTGCATGCTAATATGTGAAAACATTCATGTTTCGGCAATGGTCTCAACACAGACAATATAACATATCGCTCCAAACCGTGTGTTAAGTGCTGGAAATCCGCAACACAAAAAGGATGCAGGGTCTTCTTAGCTAGCATCCAGCAAAAAAATTTAGCGTGGTAACTCTTCTACTCGGTAATAGGAGACAGTTCTAGCGGTGGCATTGTTGCCAAGTAATAACTGGTCATACAAATAAATTTAATGCATTTAACTATATAATTGTAAAGTTATATGGAACTTAACGTTTATGTGGAAATGACATCTGTGTTAAATGCTAAACAAAATAAATCAAGTTAGAACAGAAGATAGAAGAAATAATTCTTGACACAAGTGTTGCATATCATGGATGTCATATTTGTGACATAATGTTAAAAACATTAAAACAATGTAAAATTTCCTTAAAAATAGTATCCTAATTTTTTTTAAATAAAATTGTTGGGACCTCGGGGAGTAGTTGAATACGAAATCTATTAAAAAAAAACAACAAATCCTCAATCAATGATCTCTGCACGTTCGCTAGGTACTGTTGTTGCAATTTTTGACTAACTTTTTTGTTTTTCGATATACGGACTTCGGACCGTTTCCATTCAACGCAGAATGGACAATCAAAATCAGGGAGATTTTTTAAATATATTTTTTGATATTTCCAGTCGTTCACTTAACTCTTAATACAGCTTTTTCAACATACTTTTAATTGTTTTTAAGTTTGTTGTCATTTTTATATGTTTTGGAAGATAATTATACAGCTTTATGAAACAAATCTCAGAATTCTCAGAACTCGGGAGAGATTTTTTTATATTTCCAGCCATTTCCGAGTTACGAGCGAAAACTTGTTTTTTTTCTCCTACGTTGTGACGTCTTAGTTCGATGACGAAGACTAAAAAGACCCCACGCTCTACCCCTCACCCTGTCCCTGGAGAGAAGCCCTAGGCGTCTTGAAGACGCTCGAGAAGCCCCAAAGACTCCTGAAGACAGCCGAGAGATAGAGAGAGAGAGAGAGAGAAGCCTCTATGACGACACGATCACTCGATCTCTCTCGCATATTATAGCTCTGTCTCTCTTGCATACCATCAGACAAAGATGACCGGAACGAACCTTCCTTTAAAAAAAACAACATAATGAATTCAAATAACAAAAATGCTGGAAGAATCCGGCAGTAGTATCGGCAAATTTATTTTGGAGGAAGAATCCCGTCAACAAATACTGTAAAAAATATTATTAGAAATCTTAGATGCATACTCGTGCACTGTTGCCAAGCTTCTGTTGGAACTTTTGGCATTTATTTACGCATATTGGGTAAAAAATAATAATTGAGGTATGAAAATATATAATTTGAAGTTTTTTAAATTGGATTTTATTCAATATCTACCAGGAAGTATCTCAATCTAGTTACTTTCTAGTCATAAAGAATATTTCTTTTTGCATTAGCAGCAATGATTTTATAACATGGTAAATATAGAGCCCCCCGCGTTCCGCAATCATTTGTGTATAATCTAAATTACACAAATCACTATTCTATTTCTCTCACAAAGTACCTACTGAATTTTTTATCGCGAACAATCATCAAAATCAGTACTAATTACCTATTCTTCTAAAGAGCTTATTAACGACTGCAATAAAAGTTGTATGATAGCCAATAATCACTAATCAGATTAATCTTGTCCTAGATGTCAACTTCGTTACAAAATGAGACTAACAATAAGAGAACTTGGTTATTATTTTTTTTAAATCATTTAAATAATGAATTAAGCTAATGATACAAATTTTTATAGATTATTTATTCAATTTTATTAATTGAAAAAATGTGTTACATTTATTTCATTCGTCCATGACATGTTTAATTGCCCTCTGGATTATCTAACCATGGGTAAGACTCCGGACAACGGATGCAAGACTTCATGTATCTGACTGCGCCATCTGATTTGTGGAGATTGCAGGTATAAGCCATGCATTGAGCAGTCCCTTCTGCGAATCCAGTTTTGTATTCGGACACTTGAACAGGATTCTTCATCCAGTCAAGAACTTGTTTCTGTGACACAAGGAAAACGTCACTGTAGGTCTCAAGTGTGTCCAAGAATCTGGTGAATCCGTCATAGCTGTTCTCGGTGAGACTAAACCAGTTGGAGTTTATGAGCAATGTTAGAGGTGCTCTGGTGCTGTCACGAATTTGATTGATTTCATCTAACAACCAGTCAGAAATTTCTTCAGCTGTACCACTGAAATTATGAAATATTTGTTAGTTAAGAGACTTTCACCTTAAGTTCATGAAAAAGCAGTTTAAAGGGAAGAAAACAATGAAACTTGGTTGTAAATAATCTTCATGAAATGTACTGTTATTATAAAAAGAATATTGTTACCAGACATATAGGTAAAGTATTTTCACTAAAATATTTGATTATTAATTAACTTCGCTAGTTAAATGATAACGGATGTTGAGAAAAGTTCAGCAAATAGTATCTTTTACATTTTACGGCATTCTGGTTTATGGAATGTTTCAAGAAAATTAATTAATATCTACATAAAAGTCAAATCATACTTACACAACGTTACAAGCTGCGAGATTATTACACGCTTCATTATTTTCTCCATGGAGGTCAATAACAGGAAGAATCCAGAATCCTTTAAACGCTTCAGTTGGGCATTTGTTTCCTAAAAGGCATTGTTGGGAGCTCAAGTAGTCGAGAGTATATGGATAGAGAGGTATGTCAGCCAAAGTTGGCCATGAACTGTCATAAGACAGTCCCGCATCTTGGTAAGCTTTTATGGAGTTGTCACCAGCCAACTGCAATTGAGGAGTTCTTACGCCAACAATATCTTCTTCAGGGATGTTTGCAAATTTATGAAGAATTTTCTTTTGACCTCCAAATTCTTGTTTCAAAAGTTCCTCACTAGCACCACGCCAGTATGCTTGTCTGCTATTCTTTCTACAAACGCCAAGTTGAAATTTACTTAATATACATTGCAACCAGAAGCGAATATGTTTAATTCTTAGTGCATGTTTTTGTGCTCAATTTTCAAAAAAATGTTGATTTCGTGCTCTCTTCTGAAAACATATGTTTTACAAATTAAGAAAACACTTACGTGATAGAGTGAACAGCTATTTCATATCCCACATTATACAGAGCATTTACTTTTACGTAATCGGTATATTCATGTGGTACAAAGAAAGTGGCACTAATTGGCTGTCCGTCTGGGTTAGTTCTATTGGAAAGTAGAGGCTGCCAAAAGTTGTTGTACAAGTTTTCAGTAACGGCTTCGTCAAAAGTTAAACTGATGAGCTGTAAAAAATAGAATGAAAGATCACGCAATTCAATTAGTATTCGAGAATAAAAAAACACATGGGTTAATAAAGAAATTCATTGCTTTTTCTTCCAAATTGAACAATTACTTAGAATTTAGTTATAAAGATCGTGGTGGTAAGGATACAAATATCTAAATTTTGAATAGAAAATTATATTTTGTAATACATACCTGCGGAGGTGTTTGGTCAGAATTTAAGGGACTTACAGATGTTGCACAACGGCATCCATCTGAAGACAAACAAACATCAGTTGTGCATTCTTCTGCCTGTGCACCATTATCGTAGACAGTTGGCACAGCCAAAACGGCAGTACAGTAGAAAGCAAAAAATGCTAGACTTTTCATTCTGAACACCGGGATTATACTGAAAATTAGCTGTTTTTGCAAAGCTTATAGGTATACACATGATATTAAAATATGTATGATCCTGAGATGATAAAAGCAAATAAGTGTTTAAATGAATTGTAAGATAAATTTATCTACTACGTAGGTACTTATGTAAAAAAGCAGGTAAGATGGTGGGGAACTCAAATATGCTTGTGTTATGTTTATATATTTGCAATGCAATTTTCCTATATTTTGCCGTAATATACAGGGTGTAAATGATACATTTAGCCGAACTTTAATGTTGTATTCTACCGATGAAAATAATCAAGTTTTGCCCTATAAAAATTTTTGATAGGACACATCTCTACGGAAATACAGAATGTTACAGGATTCATACATTTATATTACTTTACTTATTATTACGTATTATTTATTTATTTATTATTATGGTTTGAAATCTCTCAAACATAATATATTAGGTACTGAATTTATTGTTACACATTTAGCAATCAATAGAAAATGGTAAATAGCAACGTAGGTTACATATTCTTATTTGATTTCCAAATTATCTTAAGACCAGTAAATTTTACGAATACTTTACAAAAATACTTTATTGCCATAAATTAATTGTACATTTTAAAAACATTTAAAATTATTTAAAAAATCAGTAGCATACGATTTTTTTTTCAAAAAGGTCCCCTACTCCCCCAATAACTACACCACTGGAGTTTTTTTGGAATAAGTTACACATGAAAAAATAGTCCCCACAAAAAAATGTAATCCACCAAATTTTATCACTCAATTTTTTTGCTAGTGAATTTACAGGAAAATTAATATAACCATTTCAAACTTTTAACACCCTGCATTTTCGTAGGGAAGCGTCCTATCAAAAATTTTTATAGCACAAATCTTAATTATTTTCATCGATAAAATACGCCATTAAAGTTTGGTTAAACTTATCAATTACACCCTGTATAAATCTGTTCGATTAGTAGGTGTCAAACATATGAACTAAATAGACTATGATATGTTATTACAGAAGACTGATTTGAGTAACACTTGTCTGTCTCTTTTGTTAATAAATGGAGAACAATCGTATATTTTAGTTAATTTTCTATTACCAGAACGGTACAATGACGTAATTGTCCGCCAAACATGTTTTTACTTAAAATCAATAGCTAAACACGATTTTATGCGAAACTAAAAAAAATAATACAGATCAAATTCTCTGTCTCTAATAACTACATCAATGACAAGACTAAATCTCAAAAATGTTTAGAAAGTTATTATTTTCTTCTTTTGATTGAAAATTAATGTCTACTCAAAATCATTTGCCATGGACATAGGTATTAAACCTATTAAAGTGGTAATATGTAAAATATTCGATACGTACAATCCGTATAATATTTGTTGAGATACGATTCCAAGAAAAGGATAAGCCAATAAAGTTCTGTTATCGGAACTACTGTAACAATTTACCGCAGCAGACGGGTGCCTTGAAACTTTCCGCTAATATCTTTCTACCTCGGGTGTCGAATGCGGTTAACTCCATGTGACGCAAGGATCTTCTTCTCGACTTTTTCAAATAGAACACCCTGTATTTTATGATTTCATTAGATGCCTTTCTGTAGACCCTACAATTTTTTAATAGCTTTCCCTATACCTAAGTTGCGTAGTTTTTGCAAAAATACATTTGTAAAATACCGGATTTGCGCCCGTTTCTTTGTCGGGAAAAACGCAGTGAGCGCCTGCCAGGCAATAAAATTGGTGACAATCAATTTACATGTCATTTCGTCTTCTATTGAATATTCACGATATTAATAGGGATCATAACACAAAGTCCCGTTAATTTTTCACGTAGAATTCGATAATGCCATAAAAATATAAGTTTCCATTAAAAAAAATTAAGTTGGTACCTGCCCAGGAAGAACCGAACACCCTGTATATGCAAATATATCTTCATTTTGTGCAGCTCGGAAAAGTAGGCAACTCTGTAGAAATATTAAGTTATATCTTTTATTAACCTAGATATTGGACTTACGCGCACTAGATGGACATGGTGTATACTTATACTTACACTTATACTTACACTTATACTTACACTTATACTTATACTTACACTTATACTTACACTTATACTTACACTTACACTTACACTTACACTTATCCACATTTCGGAATGCGTGGTAGAACCAGGGGTATTGTGTTCCGGTACGGGGTAAAAATTTCACCTATTTCACCGGTAACCTCAGAACAGTTGATCACACATGTAGATCTATGCATTAGGGTAAAAGGATTGTCTTCTGCCACATACTGCGCGCGACCTCGCCCTTGCGTGGTGGGGTGATGGGCCGTCCAGGCATCGTCGGTGTCGTTGGGTATGCTTTCAGATCTGTGCAATACTGTAACAGTTGTGGTCCCTGCCGCGCCACTGTTTCTTCTTGAGGAGAAACTATCCGATTCTGCTAATGCGAAATCCTTCATCACAATTCGTATTGTTTGGATGTCCAGCGTTTCCTATCTCACCAGAATGTAAAACCTTGTCGTTCTCAATCTGTATTTCCAATCTTTTAATCAACAGAAATAGAATGTTTGAGGTTATAGTTTTTATTCAGGTAGGTTGTCACGTTTTGTGCATTAATAAATTTGTTTTGTTTTAGATTAATGTAATAAGGGATTTATTGAATCAATCATCTGAACTGCCTTACTGTATTTTTCTTCGTTTTTTTTTTATCCAAAATGAGTTTACCTGGTAGAACTAAAAGTCAATGTTGTGCTCCAAATTTCAAAAGCACTTACTAGATGAATATGTGTAAATTGTGTAATGCTTCCTGTAGAAATAAAAGTTTTTTCAAAATTTCAAAAGATAGACAATTACTGTGGATAGAATCAGTTCGAAAATTATGTAAATCAGACTTTATTCTGACAAACACATTATTTTTGTGAAGACCATTTTGAGTTAAAAAGTTGTAAAAACAGTAATAAGGATAGTCTCAAACAGAAGTGTTGTGCCGACATTATTTTTAGGATCGACTACAAGTTCACCTATTAATTGTAATAATATCACCTCAGAATCCTCAGATAGTATATAGAATATTCAACAAAATAATTTGTTAACGTAACATCACAGAATTTTCAGAGTACGAGCTGCCAAACTTCAATTTCGGATGATTTTTCACCTCCACCTTTTAAAAAACCGAACTACATATATTCAAAATTGTCATTTCCTATAAAGGCTACTGCGAGCACCAGTGCCATTGCTGAGATTACTGATAGCAAGTTGAATTAAGCGGAATCAAATACTGGTCATGTAAGTACCTCACTTGATAGCTCATTTTGTAAAAGCCTCACAGTTTCTCAGTCTTTACATTCAATATTTAGGTAATTAAAAACCAAGTCTGAGTGAAAAATGACTCAATAATAGTTAATAATAAATTTAAATCATATTAGAGAAAAAGGCAACTCTAAATTGGTTTTATATACTCAGAATAGTCAAAATTTGCTCAATTGATAGTTAGCAATAACTCGGTTTGGAGTAAAACTCACTCATTTCTGTTGCAATAGTTTCACTCATACTAATAGAGTGAACATTCCACTCAATAGTGTGCGGACAAAAATTGATATATTATTGAGTAAAATTGAGTGATTTTTTTTACAGTGTATATATCAGTAAATTTGGGCGTAACACCACTAAATTGAACATAAAAACTGCAGTCCTGGAAAGTTTTATTAACTTTTGCGCTTCTTGCATTAAAGTGCTGTTGTAATATCTAGTTTCAGAGACCAAAGTGTAAATTTACTTGTCATCCCTGTATAAAAAAAGGAATAATTTTATTTACTCCCGATTAAAACCTGACACACCCTGTATATTCTTTAATTTCTGTTTCTGGACACATGTTTATAGTAACTTTTTTATTGATTTGTGAATAAATCATTAAATGTTATAGAATAGAGATCAACGTTAATTATATAATAGAATATCAGTGTAATTCTCATTGGTTTTGTAATTTTGGCGACTTGGCAACATCTGTTATTTGATTAGTCTCCTCTAGCGGGAAATTCAAAAATGAGGATAAATTCAATTTAAATTTATATAATGTAAATACTTTTCTAAAATGTGTAATTAAATTATTTCTTATTAAAGGTGGAGTTGAGACTGGTTTGTTGATTAAAAACACGAGTGAAAATTTTATTTTGGACGTTCCGAAAATTTAACAATTAATTAAGAAGACGTATGCGTTCTGAACTTTTTTTTCACGAACAATGCATTGTACGAGTGGAGATTATCTGGAGCAAATCAGAAGACCGCGTGGAATGAGATAATAACTGTATCCTACGAATTCCAGATAGTATTTAGTTCTATTGACATTTGTCCGTTCTGTGGATAAAATAATTATAGGGAAGTTTTTCGTAGTGGACAGACAATTAAGACATTTATCACTNAGGTTATAGTTTTTATTCAGGTAGGTTGTCACGTTTTGTGCATTAATAAATTTGTTTTGTTTTAGATTAATGTAATAAGGGATTTATTGAATCAATCATCTGAACTGCCTTACTGTATTTTTATTCGTTTTTTTTTATCCAAAATGAGTTTACCTGGTAGAACTAAAAGTCAATGTTGTGCTCCAAATTTCAAAAGCACTTACTAGATGAATATGTGTAAATTGTGTAATGCTTCCTGTAGAAATAAAAGTTTTTTCAAAATTTCAAAAGACAGACAATTACTGTGGATAGAATCAGTTCGAAAATTATGTAAATCAGACTTTATTCTGACAAACACATCATTATTTTTGTGAAGACCATTTTGAGTTAAAAAGTTGTGAAAACAGTAATAAGGATAGTCTCAAACAGAAGTGCTGTGCCGACATTATTTTTAGGATCGACTACAAGTTCACCTATTAATTGTAATAATATCACCTCAGAATCCTCGGATAGTATATAGAATATTCAACAAAATAATTTGTTAACGTAACATTACAGAATTTTCAGAGTACGAGCTGCCAAACTTCAATTTCAGATGATTTGTCACCTCCACCATTTAAAAAACCGAAATACATAATATATTCAAAATTGTCATT